TCACTCACGTTGGGTCGGTTCCCCGCGGGTCCGATGGGGTTCATCATGGTGTACATGTTCTCACTGGAGTTGGTGGAGTCTGGGGGGACACGTGGGGGGTGAGGGTGGAACCCCCAAATCCAATTTACCCCCCAAATCCCATTCACAGCCCCAAATCCCACTCATCACCCCAAATCCCATTCACTCCCCAAACCCCGTCCCCTCTCACCTCCGGGGCTGGGCAGGATGGGGGTGCCGGGGGGACCACCGCCCCCAGGAGGGCCCTGGAAGGGAAAAGGAAGAAGGGAATTGGGTTGGGATTGGGATTGGGAGGTCACGGGGTCGCTGCATCCCCCCACCCCACCCCAAAGCGCACCCCGACACTCACCACGTAATTGCCAGGGGATGAGGAGGAGTAGGCGATCTGGGGGGACAAAGGGGGGTCACGGGGGGGCAGAACCCCCAAAACCCTCCCGGGGTATCACCACCAACCCCAAAAATCCCAAAACCCCCCTGAGATATCACCACCACCCCCCCAAATCCCAAAACCCCCCCGAGGTATCACCACCACCCCCCAAAATCCCAAAACCCACCCGGGGTATCACCAACCCCACAAATCCCAAAACTCACAGAGTTGGCGTTGGGGTTGGGCCAAGGCCCGCGGCCACCGGGACCCCTATAAGGGAATGGGGACAGTGAGGTGGGGTTCTGTTGGTTTTGGGATTTCCCCCAGCCTGGGGGTGTTTTGGGGGCGGTTTAGGGGGGGTTTTGGGGTTCTTACATGTTCATGGCAGGCATTCCGGGGCCGGCCAGCGAGCTGGGGGGAGGGCGCATCCCACTGCCGTAGCTCTGCCGGGGGAGAGGGGGGGGTCAGCGGGGATGGGACACCCCCAGAACTGTCCCCAATCCTATATCCCTGTCCCCATCCCCGTATCCCTGTCCCCATCCCCGTATCCCCATCCCCAATCCTATATCCCTGTCCCCATTCCTTTATCCCCATCCCCACCTCCCTATCCCTGTCCCCATCCCCGTATCCCCATCCCCAATCCTATATCCCTATCCCCATCCCTTTATCCCCATCCCCACCTCCCTATCCCCATCCCCACTCCCATCCCCGTCCTCATCCCCATCCACATCCTGACCCCATTTCCGTATCCCAATCCCTTTATCCCCCTCCATGTCCTTCAATCCCCATAACCCCACTCCTGTCCCCTTTTACCCATTCCAGTTCCTGTCCCCAGATCCTTGTCCCCCTGTCCCACCCGTGTCCCTGACCCCAACCCTAACCCGAACCCCAACCCCAACCCTAACCCTGTCCCTTCCTACTCTCTCATTCTCTCAGTATCCCACTCTCCCAGAACCCCATTACCCCATTAT